AACAATAAAAATAAACTTTAATAAATTTTATTTAATTTTATTTTTATTTTTTTTTTAACGCATCACGAGTTAACTCGTGACCGGTCAGCAACGTTCGGCCATAAAAACACGAGTTAACTCGTGACCGGTCAACAATGTGTTAAATATGATAAATTGGTACAACTAATTCTTCAAGTTTTTATTTTTTTTTAGAGAAAGAGTAACACAAGTATAAAAGATATAAAAATATAAAATCACACACAGGAAGAGAAATTTACTTTTAGTTGTAGGAATAATAATTTAAAAGAATATTTTATCGAAACTTACAACACACGTGTTTTGAGAATATTTGAGAATAAAATTGTTTTTCTCTTACAAAATCTAACATTGAGAATTTAGTTGTTGTTTACTTTTTTTTATGTTTGCAAGAATAGGATGTGTTAAATCATATAATATGTATATATATATAATACAATTAACTGTAGATTGATATCTCTGAAATGAATTTTCAGAAAATATTTATAAGAAAAAGCAATTTGAGTCAAACACTGATATTGTTACGTGATAAAAGAAAACTATATTCTTCGCAACAATGTACAGATGTTTTAACTTCGAATTTGGATTATCTTTTTTAGTGAATTGATCAATATGTGTATTTAAATCTTTGTTACTTTGATTGATAAATTATCGCTTTATTATTGAGTCTGCAAGCAATTTTATTTGTTAAGCTTAAACATCCATATCAAGGATAAGGTTTATGACACAGTCATCTCAACTAAAATATATAAATACTTTTGATAAAAAATATATTAGTAGAAATCCGAGTAGATACACAAACAACGCATAACATCTTAGAATTAAAATTAGAATTTTTACAAAAACAAAAGTATCAAAACAAAGTAACAAATCAATGACAAAAAAACATTAATTGTCAGAAATGTCAGAAGTAAATAATCAAAGAAAAAGTGCCAAGTTAATTTTTTGCCAATTTATTTCTTTTAATATATTTATTTATACATCTTAGTTGTGATGACTCGCAAAGCCTCGTCCTTGGCGTGACAGATTTGAGCAGATTTGCACATAATTGCAGAGAAATGATAATAGAGCAATAATTTATAATCACAAGATAATAAAGATCCTAAATTCACAGTCAAGATGTTTGTTAATTATTACATTAAAAAGATTTACCAAACGCTATGTTTTGATATTACACATACCAGTGTTTGACACACATATTTGACACTTCCTAATAAATTTTAATATATAAATGTTTAAATATGTACGGCATGATAATAAATTTTTTATTCTATATCAGGCAGGTGCAAATCACGTACATCGCTCCTGGAATTTCGGTGGACACGCTGCGCGAAGAAATGCGAACAATATGCGCTCTTGGAAGCGAAAAATTTACGATGAAGTGGGTGGATGAGGAAGGCGATCCGTGTAGAATCGTCTCTCAACAGGAACTGGACGAGGCGCTGAGATTGTACGAACTCGAGAAGGATACGGAAATAACGATACATGGTCAGTACAAATTTGTAAACCAGCAAAAATACTGATCTCACAAGTGTCTTGCGTGTTGCTCCAATTTTATCAACGTATTAATGCAACAAGTAAACTCATTAGCCGTTTAAAAGCCGCATATTGCATGTGGGTAGTCAGTTGCATGTTAAGTGGTTTTATATAGTATAAATAAAAGTGACGCAATATCTAATGCTTATACAGTCTGCGTGTAGAATAGAACAGTGATTTATCAATCAAAAAAAACTATATTTTCAATCAATTATCTACTAATACATATTATCTACTAATATATATAATATATATTAGTATATATATATTAGTAGATAATATATATTAGAATGTGAACAATTGGCCGATACGAGCATTAAAATACTGGTTGTTCGTGTATAGAAAGTGTAATTTATTAAATATTAATCAGACGTTTCGGTCCCGGGTTTGGACCTTCATCAGTGTAACTGAATTAAGATCGAAAGAAAACACGCGAGCACAGCAGCAAATTTAACAAAACATTGATGACACTCTGAAAGCCGCTAAGTACTGACCAATATATATTAGTATATACATTATATATATATAGTATATGTTACTATATATATTAGTAGAT